CCCTCCCTCCCTCCCTCCCCATCTATCCTCACAACTGTTTCAAAAGCTGTTTTGAAGAAAAGTCCACTTCAACCATTACATGATTGCTATTTTATGTTGCTCTTAAAATAGGGAAACCTGTACACACACACACACACATGCTCCAGTGTTCCTGTGCTACAAGTCCTTGAGCCTCCACCATGGCCAAGATGGGAGTTTCAGTTCAGCAGCATCTAAAGGGTCACTCGAAGCACAATTAAGGAAACTAAAACGTAAACATTTTGAACACAGAAAGTGAAGAAAACGCCTTTGGAGAAGAGCTGCATCTTTTTCCAGAGATGTAGTGATAAAAAAGAGACCAACAAATGCCTGCATGCTATCTCTGATGACCTAAGCAGGAGCGTGCAAGAATTGAAAGAGGACCTTACTGACAGACAATCCTGACAAAGTGATGCCCGTCTGTCACAAAGAATCAGAAGTGACTGAGTGACTGAACAACAGTAACAACAATGGACCACAAGCTCTCCTTTGCAAAACCACTCTGTTACTGAACCAAGAAAGATCAGCCAGCAACCGGGATGTTCCCATTGCAGAGAAACTTGGAAATTCCTCAGCACAGGCTGAGACCCTCAACAGCAGCCTTTCCCAACATGACACCCTTCAGGCGTGTTGAGACTGCTGCTCCTGGGATTCTCCACTAGCATGTCCAGATGTCTTATGAACCCCATTGTATCTGGAGGGCACTAGGTTGGGGAGGACTGGTCTTTAGCATCCTAGCCATATCTAATAATTCATGGGTTTTGCACAAAACACTGCGTCATAATATAGCTTGTCTGGTTGTAGGAGCCCAGCTACAGAAATGTAGGAGCCCAGCTAAGAATGGTTAAGCAAACTATTGTACACTTAGTGTGGGAACACATAGCTTGGTGAGAGCTAAGTGAGTATGTTCAGTGTGGTATTTCAGAACAGTAATTACAGAAGGACTTGACCAAATTTGAATCATGGCAGTTTCCCTCTGATGGTTTCCTTCCTTGGATGCACTTTCATCAGGACTGGGGCTTATGAAGGAGTTAACCCACAACTGACCCCTACAGTGCTGTTTTTTAACAAAATACCCCTGAAAAGAAATCACATGTTTAACATAATGACAATGTTTTAAGTATCCTCCTAAGCCATGGTTTGTTAAACCAAAGACAATAGGCTGGCTTCATGCTAAAGTGAACCTTGGTTTATAAACCAGAATGGGTGGCCTCTTGCCACATACTAGGACAAAAGGACATTTTGGCTCAGACTGAAATACAGATTCACACCATGACATGTAGCTCTTACCAGATACCACCATCTAGGTCCCTGTACACCAATATTAATAACTGAACTACAGTGC